GCAGAAATCAGCGGCCAAGTTTTCCCTGGCAAGGGTGATCGCGGCATCCTCGCCTGGGTATAGCAACAGATTCCACGCTGCTGCAGCGGAGGCGCTGAGCCTGCGGGTCGGAGGACACGCGGAGGCCCCTGGCGTAGGTGGTCCAAATCCAGTCTTTGGGCCTTCCTCACACCCCCTTTCCTCCAGCTGGCGACCATTTGGTGGTTTCCCAGCAGTGGCAATTTTTTTATTCCTGTTTTGGATGGCTGAATGCATCTCCCAGTACTTCATTAGTGGCAGTAGGAATGTTGAAGCAAAATGCCCTGGTATTTTGGTCCTGTCCCTTTGGTTTTGCCCCTGCCCCCATTTTGCCTCCAGCCTCCCACAGCTGCAATTCCCCCTCCCTGAAAAAAAACTCATCTGAAATTAAGTCGAGCCCAGTTTTACAGCCTTGTATTAAACAGCAAGAGCCCTGGAGGGTTGGTCTACTTGGCCAGCACTTCCTGACAGCCCTACCCTTACACTGAGAGGGACATGGACCGTGAGGACTGCAGGCTCTGTGTGTGTGTGTGTGTGTGTGTGTGTGTGTGTGTGTGTAGCTTTTTGGCAGGATGCTGTCCCTCCTGCCTCTTGCTTGCAGCCATCTCTGTGGCCCCGTCACTTTCCCTCTCCTGGGTCCACTCCAGAGGGCAAGGGAAAGGGCAGATGCTTTCCAACCTCCCTGCTTGGGCTTGGAGGGGGCAGCCGACCTGGCAGTGCTAATAAGGAAGAGATGGAAAATTTGGGAAGTCAGTAGTGCCCTGTGGGTCACAGCAACAGCCTGACAGCACCAGCCTTTCATGCTGGCCCTGTGTGCGAAGCCAAGCTCCAAAGTAGATGGCACCAAAGGGGTGAGAGGAGGCACTTTGCACATACTCAGGAACCCCCTCCCCTTCATGGCCATTCTGTATGTTCCCAGGCTTTGGGTTCTAAAACTGCACCTTGATTCCTGGGTAAGCACTGAGCTCAAGCATATCCAGGTACAATTTTGTGCCGGCTTAATGGCCATTCCTGCCCCGAAGCCTGAAAACAGGGGCAGCTGCTTCTCGTGAGCCCAGTCTATTTGCTTTCGGGGGGCTCAAAAGCCATCTCGGCACTCTTGACAAACGGTGCTCCCCAGGCCTCTTGGGAGGATGGCAGAGGAGGCGAAAGCCAGGCCTGCTCCGTGTCAGGCTGGTTTTCCGTGTGCAGGGGACTGATGCTGTGGGCGGCATTCAGAAGGTCTCGCCTCCCTTGCTGTCTTCGCCCTTCTCAGAGAGCTTCCCACCTCGTTCAGCTGCACAGCCGAAGCAGAGCTGGGATCTCTTCTGTGAGCAGCAGCCTTGCCAGGCACGGGGCTCCAGATCGGTCTCCTCCTATTGGCCCTTGCCCACAAGGGCAGAGTTGTGGGCAGAAATCAGGCAGGGACAGCTTTTCCTGTGCAAGGAAGTCCGGCGAGCAGTTTGGATGGAGCTTTTTCCTGGCAGTTCGACGGCACAGCAGCCTTGTTGCAAAATCAAGAGGCCTGGGCTGGGAGGACTAGGGGACCGAGCAGGCCAAGAATTTAGGTATTAATTTTTATGTGACAGTGATAGCAGCTGCTTCTCATTATGCTGACCTACTTGCTTGTGAGGGGCTGGGATCTCGAATTCAAGCTCAGCTTTTATGGTGGAGGTCCTTGTGTTCTCCCCTTCTTGCACCTTTTTATTTCCTTTACCAGAGAGTAGCCAACTAACCAGGAAAACCCAGCCGGACCTGCTCCAAGGACTTTAACGGAGTCATATCTGCAATATTCAGGTGGTAAAGATTTTTATTCGTGGCAAAGAGATTAGCATAAGCCCCTCTGTGAAAATCTGGGAAAGATCGCCACTGCTCAAAGGGACAAAAGCGGAGGTTAATTCAAAAGCTGTCACCCCCATCCTGCATTTTTCCTGGAACGCTGCTTTCCGGAGACCAAACCCTGTAACTCTGTCTTCCGCAGGTCCAAGGTCTGAGAGCTTAAATGAAATTCTTAGGGTGAAGGCAGAGACCGTGTCACCCGCAGACCTCCAATCCAGCCACAAAACGGACGCCTGCATTTATTTGCAGAGCCTCCGCTGATGACCACCAGGGGGCAGTAGGACAACACTGAAGGCGAGCAGCCGCACGCGGAAACTAGGCTTCCAGGCATTGGAGCCTAAAAATAAAACGGAGACTGCAAGGAGGAAAAAGGAAAGGAAGGCGGGAGGGGTGGACAGGAGAGAGAGAGAATATTTTTAAACCACTTTTTTTTTTAAAGCCAGAGGGCACTAGGTCAGGGTAGATGGGAATGGACAGAGCGCTGGGTGCATGCCATCACAGAAGCTGCCGCAGGTCCAAATTGAGAGTTGATGGATGAGAACATTTGGGGCCGGACTGGCTGTTTGACAGCTTGTATAACTGTCTGGAGTGTTGGCTTTTCTGGAGAAAGATGGGGGCGGCCTGCAGCCAGCCGCTGCACCTGCCTCTCCACTTGTGTTTGTGCTTGGTTTGCTGAGGCTCCAGAAGGAGAAATGTTCCCATTAAATATGAAAATGCAGCCACCAGGAAAAGAACGCTTTGCTGACCTTTCCTCCATTTGCTTTTAGAAGGAAAGAAACATAAAAATGGCATTATTTACCTCCTTGAGGGATGTGCCTTTCTGTCCTTCCCAATGCTAGAGAGCAGATCCCATTCCGATTTTTAATGCAGGAGGTGGCGCTAAAGTCCTTTTCCCTTCGCATGGCTTGCCATGGTTTTTATTTTTTAGTTGTAGTGAATATATTGCTTTGGGAAATAGCTGGCCAACTCACGAGGCGAGCAACTGCCTCCCTTGCTCCTGTGCTGAGCGAAATCAGCAGGTGGTGTTTTGGGGGCAAGCTGCTGTTAAAGGCAGAGGAGCAGAAAGGGCAGATAAAAGGCTGGCGGCACTTTCGGGAAGATTTGGATGCTCTGGGCTAGAGCCAGGGCCTTCCAGAGCTGGGGAATGACACCCAAGAGGATTTCTCTGTGGGCCATTTGGACTTGGTGCACTGGGCTCATCTCCAAGACGCTGCTGTGTGTGGTTAGCTCAAGCAACTCTGTGGAGCAGGAATATCTGGAAGGGTGCCAGAGAAGTGGTAAGCCTCTGGATCTGTCCCTCCAGCCTGCAAGGGATCTTGGGGTGCACCTACGAGATAAACTGGACAACCGCCAGGGAGGGGAAAGTATTCAGGGCTGGTCTTGCTTCTTGGAAGGGTGCTAAGATCACAAAGAAGATGAAAGAGTTCTCTAGGAATCAAGTTCTGGTAGGACACGGCTGTGTATCAGTTTGCCCTTCCTGAGGAAGGAATTAAAACAAACCCAAATCCTGAAATCAAGAAAATGGTGGCCTCTAAGGAACAAAACCAACTGATGTAGATACAGTCTGCTCCCTGTTGCTCTGTGCCAATGGGGAAGATGGAGTGTATTTGTTTGGATATGTGTTTTCATTCTGGAGGCCTCACAGTGGCAGTCCCCTCCGGTTTCCTTGAAAAATACTTTCTTGCCGTTTTCATGTGATTGCTTTTGCTCTACAAAGCATGTTTCATTCTTTGGGGCTGTGCCCCCGCCTCCACGGCTGGCACGCATGTCTTCGCCCGGTTGTAACATGAGCGGCATCGCCAGGACCATCTGCTCCCGGCACAAATCTTCCATTGCTGCCCTTGCTGAGAGGCTGCTCACGTGGATGGGCTTGAGATATCGTGGTGCAGCTGCTGGGTCACGGCAAAGGTTGCTACCTCCCCCTCCCCCGGGCAGGCAGACTCCCTGTGCGTTCAGGAATGTCTGTGAGCCAAGAATTCAACAGGTGAAGCCTTTTGCATCACTTTATCTCCATGCCATGCAAAAACGTCATGCTCTAAATTTCCCCTATGACAGAAGTTATGCAAGGCCTAAAGTTCTTGCTGGGGTAGGAAGGCGAGACTGGAAACTCTGGTTAGAGATCGTGTGAGTTGTGATACCAAAGGGGGAATCCAGGATATTTCCTCTCTGGGGAAAGGCCACACATTCCAGGCTGAGGAGGCAGAGGCCGGTACCCGTATTCCCAGCACTGAGGGCTGCACATTGCCCAGGCCTTGTCCAGCTGTTAGGACACAGTGGGATTACTGAGCATTCGAAATGGGATTGTTCTAACGAGATTTCCCTTTAACGATGCAGGATTATCCACCCTACCCGATTAGCATGCAATCCGATTAGATAATGACATTTCTGCTGCCTGGTTGGCCCAGCTGCTCGGCTGGGGCACTTTGGCGGCAAAGACTCCGTGAGGCTGCCTGCCCCGAACCTCTGAACTCTGCTCCGTGTGGGGCAGTGCCCCCCAGCGCCGCATGTGGACGTCATCCCTCCACTGGCTCTGGGGGTGGAGAAAAGGGGGCAGCCCTCTCCAAAGCCACACAAATGCAGAGATCCAAGAAGCTGTCTCCGGAACAGGGAGGGAAAGGGGTTTGCTGGCCAATGTTTGCTTTGGCCCGGCCTCCGCCCTCCTAGGGGAAATATCTATACTGCACATTCACACCAGTCTGAAAACAGATTTGGTTTGCTTTGAATGACTAGACTCCAGGGAGTCCTGTGGATGAGATGCAGCCCATTCCCAGGTGGTCCAGCCACATCAGCCCCATTTGGGAGGTGGGAGTGGAGACCCTCTTGTGCTCCATCACAACGCGGGCAGCATCCAGGAGGTGCTGGTCCCTGGTCCAGTGGCCCCTTGTGGGGCAGGGGCCCCAGGATGTCTAGGGATCCCCTCAGGGCATCCGAGCTTCTCCAGGGATTTCACAGGAACCTGAGCAGCTCCCCAGAGCAGCAGGAGGACAGCAGAGAGCCGGCCCGAACACTAAAAGCCACAAGGAGTCCTGCGTGCACGGGCATTGTCTGTGCATTGAAACATCCGCGGAGCTTTGGATTAAGATGACAAACTGCAAATGTTAGAGGAGGGGCAAATGAAGCTGCCAGACCAATAAAACCACCACAACAAAAGAAAAAGCAGCGGCGACAACAGGTGCATTTTAATCACTTTCCACCCAAGCGCAGAATTTAAATGGCATGCTTTATTACTGTTTTCTTTCTTTGTTGAAGGAGCTTACACTACTTCAGACCAGATCTCACGGTTTCCACGCTCTGTTTGTTTAACATGCTCCTATTCCATACCCACAGCCCCAAACTCCAAGAAAGAGGAAGCAAAACAGAGAATATGTCTGGAGTTTAAGTCAGGGGCTAAACCCAGGAACAGTAGGCCAGAAGAAAGAGATATATATTGTGAGAATAAATCTTTCGGTGGGCAGGTTGGCTCTTCTGTGGGCATTCAGACTGAAATCCCTTCCTGAGACAATTCAGTCGTAATAGAGGTTCATTCAATTGGGCCTTCGAGCAAAAGGATAAGAAGCCAGACACACCGTTGGCACAGGTGAGAGACCAACAATTTTCGGCTCTTCCTCTAGCTGAGTCATTTCCATTCCGGCTGGTTGTGAAAAGGCGGAAAAATGCCCGCCTGCCCTGCAGCCATTCATTACAAAGATCTGTACAACTGGTCCTGGAATGACCTTGCTTTCTGTTTCCCTCCCTTCGCTTTCGTGTTGCATCTTTTAGATTGTAAGCCTGAGGACCAGGACTGTTTTTTTAAATTTATAGACCATTCCGAAGCTCTTCTGAAGACTGGGGTATAAATGGCTTGAAATAAATATGAATTAAAATCCTGCACCTAGAAAAGCAGATTCCTTTAACCAGCATGGCTCATGGAAACTATTGCCCAGACTTATTTCTACAATTTCAAAACAGTATTTGATGGCAGATAGCATCAGATCCCTTATGACCATCGTCTGTGTGGATGCCCAAAAATTGACGATCCGAGAGTGCATTACTGCATTCAAACCAGCTTGGGGGTGTTATGTCTTGTGCCTCAGGAAATACATGTTGTCTGCTAACTTGATCAAGATGGCCAAGTGCCCCAGCAATTTGTGCTTTTTGCCTTAATGGCTTCCAAAGGTCCTAACTGGCAATACCCTTAATTGCAAATACGATTCTTTGGTGTAAAGGTCTAGATGTATTTTAGTTCACATGCAGTGGGCACATTTTCATTTGATTAATTATGGCAATATTCTGTCACACATTCATAATTTGTTACAGATTTTACAAATGTTCTTTGGCTAGCAAATCCATGAGTTGGCATGTAGATTCTGGGGAGATGTCCCCTCGGCAGGGATGCCACTGTGGCAGATTTCCTTCGCATGGGGGGGGGGGGACAGGTGTTTTCAGGCCCCTCCCGGGTCCATGAATCTGTGATTCTCCTGCTCATGACCTACCACTGCTGGTGAGGTGGGGTAAGACTGTAGAGTCCTGCTTATGGAAGGCTGCATAATTGGCAGCCAACAGCAAGACCCTTCGCCAAACTCATGGAGGGTATGTCTGCCCATGAGCCACTTCCATGGAAGTAATGAGCCATCTTAAGAGGCAGGACTGTTCCACTCCCACTGCTGGGAAGGACACCTGCACTTATGGTCGTGCTGTTTCCAGAGAGATCCAGCCGGCCCTTGCGGATGATGGGCTAGCTCCCACCCTGTTGGCTGGGGGATGCTGGATATTGTAGTCCAACACATCTTGGAGACACAGAGTTGGGGAAGGTTAGCGCGATTTCTGGTGCCTGCTCCAAGAGCGCTGCTCTTACATTTTAGCCCACAAGAGAAGCTGAGAATTGGCACCCGTGAAAGCAATCTGTGGGAGGCAGAGGTGAGGGAAGGCGGGACAGCAGGAAAACCAGAAGTGCTGGTACAAAGCAGCCTGAAACACCCTTTCGGAGAAATGGGAGTTCTAGGCCCTGCCTCCCTCAGGATTAGTCACTGCCTGCTGTGGTTGGGTTGCTTGTTTCAAAAGCCATCAAGAGTTTAATTGTTCATCATCTGTAATGGCTTTCTCCATGCTGGTCCCCTCCAGATGCCTGTGGAGCTGCAGCTCTCATCATCCCCGGGGGAGAGGGCAGAAGGTTAGGGAACGCTGAGGTACAGAACACATGAAGAAGGAAACACTATTGACAAAGGAGGGTGGGCATCTCTCAAAAAATGTGGGTTGTTTTCATTGTGGGTGGCACAGAATTAGTGGGGAAGAATGTGAAATGTTGTGTTGTGGCAGTGAAACTGCTTTTATGGTTTTGAATCTGGGTGGGGTTCTTGGAAATCCAGCCTTCTGCTTTCACTTGTCAATGGCAACATCAAGGGGAAAGGAAAAGTGAGAAGGGACAGATGGAAAGGGACGTCATTTGGGGTCGGGGGGCACTGAGTCAGATCCCGCATCCCCAGCCTTCTCCAACCAGGTGCCCTCCGGACATGTTGGACTACAACTCCTATAATCCCCCAGCCAACAGAGCTGGAAACAGCTGCATTCCCTTAAAAGCCATGCCCTCTGTGGGAAGCAGAGGCTGGCGCACCAGTGTCCCGGCTGCTTCTGGAAATAGCATGGGAGTGAAAACCATGGGAAGGAGGGACTCCTAGGCTGGAGTCAGCCGTGTCTGATGCAAATGGTAAGAACAGAACCTTTCCTGGGCAGCCCCTCGCCCCTCTTTCTCCTAAGGAAGTCTCAGCAAGATTCGTCCACAGGGGCTGCTTCCCAGGACAGTCTGAGGAGAGGATTTCCTTCCTTAAGAGAAAACTCTGATGTTCCAGGATATGGAACTAGTGGAGCTGGGCTCATGGCAAAAATGTGGACATATCTGCACAATGTTAATTCCGCCACCCTCGCTACCTGCATTTTGCATCAACTTATTCCCGTCGTGTGCTTCACTGTGAGGATAACAATGACGATTGGTACAGTCCAGAACCTCCTTCCCCCAATTGCAACTGGAAACCTGAATCTTTTTCTGGCCCTTTTCCCACTTTGGTGATTTTGAGCAAGCCTCACGCTCACACACTTGAAGGCATCTTCACAGCCATGTGGACAAGTGACGCTCCGAGAGACTCCCAGGCATCCACAAAGAAACAGCGGTGCTGGCCAATGGATCAGGTTCTCCATTCTTGACTTGGCCCTTTCTGGCTAAACCAATCATTGCTCCTTGCCCTTTTGCATGGCACCTGAAAATCTGTCCCACACATTTCATGCATCACTTCCCCACCATTCCTCACCCGCTTTCCTTCCTGGTGTACCTCTTCTTCACACTGTCTTCCACTGAACATAGCATCTGGAATCCCACGTGTGGCTTGGCTCACCCTGAGCGGTGCAGAACAAATGTGGGTCGTATTTTCTCTTGGCCGATGGGCCCTGGATCTCTGCAAACAGGCCGGCTTCTTTTCAGTCAGAATCTCATTTGTGTCACCGTAGTCCGCCATGTTTCAGCCTTTTGCTTTAAGCCAGTTAACCGTATCAGTTATTGTCAGCAATTAATGAAAATAAATAATAATGGTAAGGTATCTTCATGCCTTCTCCATGACTGCGTGAGAAAAACGGGAGAGACAAGGGAAGCCGTAAGGTGTAGCGATTCGTTTGTTGACCTAACACCACGGACAGAGCTGTGTTCAAATTCCCACAGAGCTGTGAGATTCAGTGGATGACTGTGGGCCAGTCACTATGAGTCAACCTATCAGGATTGTTGTGAGGATAAAACTGGCAGAGAGACTATTTAGCTGTCCTGAGCTTTGCTTATCAGGCAGCAGGATAAATATAAGAAAAGAAGCTAAAAGGGTGAAGTTTTCTTTGGCTCTGGGGCATAGCGAGCCTCTAGAAGGATTTCCTTTGAAATGTAGAGCATGGCTTCCTATTAGACAACCTACAGAAAGGGAGCTGCTGGCTCCTTTCCTGGAAACAGCAAGGGTAGTTCAAGTTTGCATTTCTTGCAGCCAAACTCTTGGAAAAAAATTATCCAAAAGAAACTTGAACTGGGGACATTAATTAGGAATTAAAGAAACTGGCTTTAAAGGGGGAGAAAAACCCATAAACGTGCACTGTTTCGATGGGTGAATATTTTGGGTTGCTGTGCTGTTCTGAACAACTATCTGGCCAGTGCATGTGATAGCACTATTCAGCATGAAAAATCACTTCTGAGACCTCTTTCCATTTAGGCTTGTTTGTGCATTTATGCAAGGTGGAATTGCATTCCCTTCTCAGAGGATGTCATGTTTTTCCAGCTTTCACTACGCAGCTTGGAAACTGTGCAGGCCAGGACGCTGCTGTCCTTTGTCCCAGGTTTCCCGGGTGGGGTGGGTGGAAAGTCTGCTCCCACCATGAGGGTGTTCCGGAGCCGTTTAGCACTGCTTGCATTCTGTTGGTGGCTGGCCTGGGCCGGGCCTGCCTGGCACTGACCACTGTAAGAGGCTGTAAGGAGCACAGCACCTGCTCCCACACAGCAGGTCCATGCCTGCCATCCCTCTAGCAGAGGCTCGAGGTAGCAGGTGACAGGAAAGGCGGCTTTCTGCCTGAGAGCTTGGGGAGGTGCTTCTCATGTTGGAGCAGGGGATACAGGCAGTCCCCGGGTTGTGAATGAGTTCCATTCCTGAGAGAATGGAAATTTCATCTTTAAGTCAAATGGCCTGCTTCGGAAGCCCTCCCTCTCTCCCCTTTTGCTTCCTCTCCCCCTATGGCGATGCTTTGGAGGCCTCTCTCTCTCCTGTTTCACTTCCCGTTTCACTCCCTTTCTCCCTGTGGTGATGCTTTGGAGGTGTCCCTCTCCCCGCTTCCCTCTGGTGATGCTCTGGAGGCCTCTCTCTCCCCCCTTTCACTCTCTCTCTCTCTCTCTATGGTGATGCTTTGGAGGCCTCCCTCTCTCCCCTTTCACTCCCTCTCTCTCTATGGTGATGCTTTGGAGGCCTCCCTCTCTCCCCTTTCACTCCCTCTCTCTCTATGGTGATGCTTTGGAGGCCCTTCCTCTCTCCCCTTTCATTTCCACACTCTCTCTCTATGGTAATGACAATTTTCCTAAGTATTTAAAAAAATCAATAGGTTTTATGGCAGTTGGTTTATAAGTACAGGTTGTTTGTAACTGGGGGACTGCCTGTACTGGATTAGACAGATAATTAGCCTGACACAAGATAAGACACATTTTCTGTTCCTAAGTGGGAGGGAGCGTATAAAATTGAACGGTTAAGGCTTCCCTTGACATCTAGCCTGAGCAGCAGTCAGCCTGTCCAGCCAACTCCACCAGGAGCCCCAGCATGAATTGCTGGGAATTAGAACCTCAGAGGAAGGACAGCAAGAGAAAAGGAGAAAGAGAGCGAGAGAGCAGGACTTTGAACACACACGGAGAGACACAAGGCAGGCAAAAGGTGATACCTTTTTATTAGACCAACTTCCGTTGGCGAGAGCGTGCAAGCCATCGAGCATTTGGAAAGGTTTAGCATTTAGTCACTGGCTTTAACTAAGCACATTCGGACAGACATTGAAAAAAAAACAAAAACAAATTGTCATTATTGTTATTTTTAAAATGAAAAAGACTGGGTTTCTCTTTTAAAAGGAAAAAAAGTAATAAAGAGCCACACAAACAAATTCAGAAAGCAATCCAGAAAGAAACTTCCCCAGAAAAACACTCAGACCCTCCGAAGTCAGCCAGTAAAGCGCATTCAGAACAAAACAAAACGCAACTTTTTCCACGAAAAAACAGGGGGTGGGTGGGAGGAGGAGGAAGGGAAATCACCCGTCACGCACAGCAGCTGGTATTTACACACGGAGGTGGGGAAGGAACTAAAGAGTGGATCAAAAGTATTCTTGAAGAAGAGAGGAGGAGGAAAGTAAAGGGGTGAGATGGGGAAATGTTTCCTTTAACAAATTTGGGCCCTGAATCCTGCCAAGATTCACACGACAGCCTAACTTGCATTGACTTTTGGGCTGGCCTCATGTGCCACAACCTGCCCGCTGGCGATTTTCTGGGCCCAGCAGTCCGTTGTGGACGCGGAAGCTCGGAGATGCACTGCGCACGCTGCGTGCGCACACTTCCTGCACACAGGCGGGAGTACATGGCTTCATCTCTAAAAATCCCATGATCGTGTCACGTCTTACTTTGGAACGTTTTTCGGTCAGGAGCACGCACGCTCCTTGCTTGTTGCAAAAATGCTTGCTTTCGACAGGAGATTGCAACCCTGTTTGAAAACACAGGAGGCAAAACTCTTCTTTTACCCTTCTTAATGGGGCAGCAACAGTAAAGGGAAATCGGTTCATTCATTTAGAGAGGTTGGAAACTACCATCGTTCTCAGTGATGGATCTCAGGCGAATGTCAGCTGGCTTCAAAGGACAACTCATGCCTCTCAGCTGCAAATCCTGCAAATTGTAATCTTATGAAGGGACCAGGGAACTCCACATGGGTTGTTCTCAGGACCCTTGCTAAGCTATAATTCCCAGGGTATTTTGCATGGAGGTTGCGTGTCCATCAACCTTGCCTGAAACCAGCTGAAAACGAAAATGTAAACATGTTCAAAACAAAAGATAAAGAAGAGGAAAAGGCTTGCATACAGAAGACAGGGCGAGCTAAAAAAATCCAGATAACTAGAGCAACATAAGTGACCATATCTCTGACACGTTTGTGAATTAGAGGAGGCAATTAGCAACACACGGGTCTGTTAGGGAGTCAGATCCATGTGCTATTCATTCGGAAATGACATTTTTATGCTGTTGTTAGGATCTGTTAAAAAAAGTCTTGTGAAGAAGTTTGGGAGCTGAGACAATGCTTCCTTTTTTCTGGTTTGTACTGGGAGATTTCCAGACAGATTCCCAAGCAAGTCCACAGCAAGACCTCAGACAGCAACAGCGATGGAGTGGTACAGAAATATAATCAATTAATTAATTAATGGGTGACTTGTGGTTAAAGGGATAACTGGTTTTGTGTTGAGGTCTTTCTAGCCAGGAAAAGTGCATATGAGATGACAGCATCCGTAGGCTACATGTGTGGTTCAATATTACTGAAGGAAAGGAGGGAATTTCAGGTGGGATCCACAGGTAACTTGGCTGGCCTATGGCTTGTCAAAACGAAGAGAAGCTGCACCTGGACTGCTTTTGCACAGCTCCTGTTCTTTTCCACAAGGCATTTGTCAGAGAAGGTCCGAGTGGATCGCATTACTTAACGGGGCATCCAACGTGTTTCTCTAAACAGGGCCAAATCCTGCTAAGCGCTTTTGCAAAGGGCCCCTGCAGAGTTCTGGCGCTGGGTTTTCCACTTCAAGTTAAAAATTTCTGTGTAAATCTTTGCTTGATCAAGGCTCACAAGCCCTTCTGGTCCTTGAAAGCACCATATGTGTGGGATGGGGAAGAAAGAGAAATGTTTAAATCGATAGATGCCTATGTATGGTTTTTAAAAATGATAATAATAATCTCAGTTTTCTTTGGACCGAGGGAGTTCATTCAGGAAAAAATTATGCAAGGAAGAAAAAAAAATCCATAGATGCACATCTTTAAACAGAGGCAGAAATGGGTATTTCTCTTCTCCACTGGCAAAACCACCAAACTACTATGGACAGAATCCGACAGGGTGCTTCCATCCCCACGAATTTTCATTTTCCCTACCAACTGCATTGCATAAGCAGCCCCCACGACTTGTGCAATGACAATTTAGCACTTCCAGGTCACCCTGACTGGAGCAACCTCGCAAAAGGAAGCTCTGCCAACCTGCTGCCTCCTTCCAGAAGCAAGCTCTGCCACTAATTTTGGAATTTCCCTAGGAAGCACTAAATCTCACTTCCTTAAGTGGTGTGTCCTGTTTGCACCGTGTTTTCCTTCCGGAAGGGAATCAGCAGGGCAGAAGAAAACTGGTAGGGACATAAGCACTCCGTTAGATTCTGACAACAGTTTTCAACTGGGGATTATGGAGTGGACTCCAACTTAGTCACACTTAGAGAAGACCCACCAAAATCAGTGGAATTTAATTTAATGATGATTCATGAGAAGTCCTGTTGATTTTAATGAATCTACTCTAAGCGGGGCAAAGTCTGGATCAAACTCTTTTATATAATTCATGAACAGTTTTCTTTCTCCCCTGACATCCAAACCAGAAACCAGTTAGAAAAATATATTGTCTTCATAGTTGGAATTTGAGGACAATGTATGTGTTTATGTTCTTTGATCTGGACTCCCCATATTAGCCCCAAATTATTTCTAAGGCTAGGAAGCAAATAGCTGTGTATTTATTTTAGAAGGTAAGAGCCCACTATATTTATATTAGGGCTGTTTTCAGTTAAATACATCTTTGTTGGATGCATCATGTCTTTGGGTCTATCAATGAACAGCACAATTCCAGTATCTGGAGTGCATGAGATCAGGAAAGACGGATGTGGAGAAGGTGGCCCTCAGGGATGACCGAATCAGGGTTGACTTTAAGGGCATTAGGGCCAGGTATTTATCTTACCTTCCCAAGAAGTACCACTGCAGCTTTGCACACAGCCAACTTCAGCAGTTTGGAAGGCATCAAGGGCAAAAACTGAGTTTCCACACCCTGCCTCTCCCGGATCAAG